CAACATAGATTCATACGTACAGACATCAGCAATTCGTTTCGGCAAAAGCAGTCCTTTATTCTGACCGAACGTATTATTATATTATTATAAGGGCACAGCCCCGATCCTCCTAGCCGGCACAAGCCGGCCGAATGATCAAAAAACACCAATATAAAGGAAAAAAACATATAAAGTCCGAAATCAGAATCGGAACGTATAGATTTTGTCCAAAAACATCGTTCAAATCCTTTCGAGAGTGATCATAATGGATATATTCGTTGAAATATGACATCCGAAATTTTACCGTTGCGATTCTTCCTTTGAATTTTCATTTGATTACGTATTGCCTTCGAATTATAGCTTTCGAACCACAATTTCCATAAAAGTAGTAAATCCGAACTATTTGATTGGTTGTTTTCTCTGTTATTAAATAATGAAGCATCTTTACGTATGCATGTAGTTGCAATTATGCTTGTTTTTCTTACTGTGGAAAACAGCACCTACAACCATCCACATATTCCGCCCATCCACGTGCAACATATGCACGTTGAAAGTCGGAATTCTGAATTTCGAATTCGTTTTAATTTATCTCTTTATTTTATTTTATATTTTAAGCAACAAAAACGCAACTACGAACTTAGTAATTCAAAACAATGTTTTGCAAGTCGGCAAAGCGTAAGCTATTTCATAATCATGAACAACCTTCGAATAGACATGTAACAAGTCATTCATCAATTTTTGATGGAGTTATGGATTTAATATTAAAATCTACATATTGGAAGAAATTTGTTGTTCATTTAAAGTAAGAGAAAAATGTTTAGCGTTTGCTTTGTTGCTAAACAAAGAATGATCGCATTCTTGCATGTATGCTTTAGTAGCCTAAGTTGTTAACAATTTTAGAAAGCTATCAGAAAAATCTATGGTTCGAGTTCCACCGAAGGCAAAGTTAATTTGTTACTTTCCTTTGTTTCGAAAAGTCCAAATAATATCTACAAACTTCTTAAGTTTCCTAATATATTAGTTGTTGCTCTCTGCTATCCAGACCAAGATGTTGTATTAGAACTGATGGTCACAACTTAAGTGGTGATAGAACATGAGAAAAGTCGCAGGTTTCGTAGCATATGTGTGGTGAAATGTGAATGAGTACGAAGAACATGGTAAATAAGAGCCGATTTAAACACGTAAATTTAAAATAAATAATATTTGATATTTACAAGAATTGTTCTAATGAACGACCAGCAATTGCAATACATGCATTACAACGACAACGGATCTCATTTACCTGATGCTATTTCACTGTTCTGAAGACTTTGTCGCTAGAATCAGTGTCTCTTTTACAGAAGTACCTGACATGCCGGGTTTCTTCCAAAGTGCTCTTCGTTCTCATTATGGTGCATATTTTTAGTTGGGAATCGTTTCCAACTGAAAATATGCACCATAAACAGCATTTCTTGTAAATAACCGTGATTAAAACGATTTTTGTTCTCCATGTTCTTCATACCTGCTGCCTTTCGAAGTTCACATTTGATATTCCACCACACATTACTTTAATTGTTACTTTTGCGAAGTTCTGTTATGCCTTAAAAGTTTGACAATCTATTCTGATACGTCCTGTATTTACCTCTGCATCAGATGCTTATTTCAAACTTATGAATATGTAATGACTGGCATTGATAACGTTTATTTTAACAGTGCCTGCCACGCGAAACATTGGAGGTAATAGATCACCAGATTCGTATCATGGACAGCATGCATGAAACATGTCAGGAACTATCTCCCGAAACGGTTTCCGCTGGTATTCGATAATCATCAGTGATGGGGATTTTTAGCGCGAGACATGATTAATAATGTTAGTGAGAGTAAGAACATTCGTTGTGAACAGCTGGTTGCTGTTATAGACAGGAGTTGGACTGATGATCCTATTTTATGCTTCAGTATCATTTTTCATACATCAAAAATGTAAAAGACAGTTTGGAGGAATTTTTTGGCTAAGAACTTTATTTTCTGGCATATGGCATCAACCACCGACTTGGGAAAATTTCATTCAAGTCTGTAGAAATACTTGTTTGCCATGTAATATTCTTTATTGTTATTAACTTTCTTATTACTTCTAAATACTAAATTAAATGCAATAATATCCTCCGCTCCCCCTTTTTTTTCCTTTTTGAGGCATAGTGTGACTAATAGCAAATTTTCTGGTGCAACTTTTTCTTTTATTACCGTATGTTGCGAATTCACATTCCAACAAATGTGCCTCTCCATTCAAAATTTAATGCCAGGCATGAGAATACAGTACTTTGTAGGATAGATAGGTGCCGCAAAAGCAATTTAATAAAAAAAATGATGACAATTCATAATTATCGCGTATTCTAATCTTCCATTTGAGAGTGGCTCTCATTATCGTATGCTGACATGGTATCTGTTCATTCTATTTTTAAAAATATTCCAAAGGGCAACAGTTGCTAAGAATTGCTTTCTTTTTTAACTTTTGTTTTTTCCTGAAAGTAAAAGGGTGAGATACTGCGAAACAAAAATCGGCCACTTCTGTTTTGGAATGGATTTTTCTATGAATAAAGTTGGAGTATGGAAGAAAGAGGAACAATACAGCAAAATTAATAAGCAAAATGTTCCGTTTAAAACCTTTATATCTGATTTCAATAAATATTTATTCTGTCTTTTGAATTGATTATTGAAGGTATGAGAAATTCTAATTTTAAGATCTATGACTTTTGGATTCGTAGAGGTAAGAATTATTTTCCTGTATATTTATATACTTCACTTTTATTAAAATATTTGGCAATATTGATTAAAATTACAATGAAGGACTGAGACATAACTTATACGTAAATGTGACGTAATTAAAGTTGTTTAGTTTAGTGAGTTTTACTTTCAAATTACTTCTACGAAATTTGGTTTGGTACCCGCTATAGCAATTAAGAATCATAATAGGGCTTAACTCACACATAGAAACCACTAATCTCCTTTTTCTGAAACTCCAGAACTCATCAGGGGATAATAAATTAAAGCTTCATAAAAGTTGATTAATATGTTTCGAAACATGTTTCGTTCAATTGGTTCATTTGAGATCAAAAACCGAAAAAATATTCAGTTCAATTTTCATTTAAGACATTACAATTCATATAAAACTGAAAAATCGAATCTCAAATGCACCAGAATTTTCCCTACACGCTTTCGAAACACTTGGAAAAAAGAATAAAACATATCATTGTGTCTCATTAGCTACTCAAATAAACCATAAAATTTTGCATTATACGAACTGATCATTCAAAAAAGGCAAATTGGTCTAAAACCATATATGAAAATCCAAGATTCTAAATCAGTTACAAATAAAGAACAAAACAAATATATTTTAAATATATATCCAAACATAGAGTCTAACAATTTTATGCGGCCCACGAATACATTTCCTGTAAATTAATTAACCTTATTATGACAAAAATTTGAAGAAATATTTAAGATTGTAATGATTGGAGTTTAATTTGACAATATTTTCATTACAATTAGAAAGAAGAGCGAATAACGCCTCAGAAGGTCTAAAGAGGGAGCTAATTAATTTACACCATGATATAAATTTAAAGATCTAAAGATATAGATTTCGTTAACTTTTTTTTTTTTTTTTTTGAAAATTTCATAAGATAACTATCCTAAATTACCAATTTTTGGAATTAAAAATATTGCTTTGTCTGTGAGTACATTTATATCCGAACAATTTGTTTTCAGTTGAAAATTGAAAAGTTTGAAAAATGAACTCAGTGAGCATCTAATATTCACGATGAAGTTAGTTTCTAGTAATTTTCTGTCAGGTTAGAAATAGTCTACGAGAGGCCGAGCGGAAAACGTGTTGAACATTGGCAGTTTCGACCTGGGGTCGATTCCAGGCAACAGGTTGGCTGCATGGCCATTTTCGTGGTTTTTCGTATGCGTAACTTGTACACGAGCCAGTTCCCCTTAGAAAGTTTTCCACTAAGGCATCCTTCGCCTTAGGCAGATAAGTGTGCTTTGCCGTAATCAAATAAACCAAACTAAACCAAGGTTATTAAGTGGTTTAAACTTTATTAAAATCGAAATGCTATCAAGTTTTGTATCTGAAAGTTATAGTAAGAAATACAGAAGTTTATTTATTACATACAAAGATGTAAATATTTGCTGCATGCATCAAAGAACAGTTTTATAAATGAAAGAAAGAGAATAGGCTGTTATAATTTACTTTCAAGCTTTGTCCTATTTTTAGTAGTTTAGTAGCTTGTTTATTTTAATTTAGTCATTTAGCAGTTGAGTCAACATATTATAATTATTTGAAAGCCATTTCTGCCTAAAAGTTTAATATTTAGTTGTCACTATGCTTGAACTACAAAGTGTAAAAACCATAACTTTATCGTAGACACCAACCTTTATATTTCAAACAGAAATAAGTATGAATTGGAATTTTTTTCTTTGTGTCATTATTATTGCTATTACCTATGCTTTCATATACATTTAGTAAATAAAATGTTTAATTTATTGGTAATAATTTATTATGTAAAGTTTAATTAAAATTTTTGTTTTATTAAAAAATCTTCATTTTGGCTAAGAAAGGATATTTGCATCTCGTCAGCTGCTTTAGATCGTATTTTAGACAGCTGCTTTAGATCGTGTTATCGTCAGCTGCTTTTAGATCGTGCAGTTTGAGAAAAAGATATTCCATCTTTCGCAGTTTTTTTATTAGCTTACGAACTTAAATCCTTCTTAGGAGTTTTGTTGTTGTTATCGTCATTTATATACATCATTTATGCTAAACAATGCGTTTTACTAAAAATACTTCTTTCTGACAAGTTTCGCTTTATAAAATTTGCGGATATCCTTTCTGAGGCGGTTTTTTCCAGCTTTTCGAAGACTATCATTACATCGAATTCTGATATCTGTATCAGGAAATGTATCCTCCTTCTCAATTGACTATAGGTTTAGCGAGATAAACGTTGGTTATCATTCGCTGAGATAACAGTTAAGCCTTTTTGAGGAAGAAAATGAACAGCTGATAGCTGCCAAAACCTAACACCTTTGAGGGAAAAATATAATATAGATCGAATGTATGCGAAGCTAAATTTGTCAGATGCATCTATGTTCATAATATTAAAAATCCAAAATCATCATGATAAATGCTATCGGCAAAGTAAGAAAGCATTCGTATCGCCTTTGAAGAGATTTAAATCTGGATGATAAAGCATTCGTTAAAGTGCGTAACAGAAGCTACGACCGTTTTGAAACAAAGAGTTATTAAATTTCCATTGTGAGATGACGAAGTAGTTGAACTTTGAAGTAGTTGATATAAGCAGCATTTGGATTATATTTTCTGTCATAGGTAGAGTATTAAAATTTCCTTTTATATTATTCAGTAACCTAAGATGTCTTTCAGTTTTATTGAGTATTAATTAGAGATATTTTCTTGTCAGTCTTTATAGTTTTTTTTAATTCGCGTAGAATTGGTTCATATTTACATGCCACTTTAATCGGGGAATGTAGTACCACATCGCATAGAAGCGATCGTCTCTCTGCCGGAACAAGGATCGACACGGTAGCTCAAAAATCAATTTTGATTTTACCCTGGTGTCGATTCTGTAGTGGTATTGAACTTGGCCGTTGGAAGTCTATGATTGTACCCTAAAATAATAATTTAGTCAAATTTTGTTCCTCTTGATTTTGCGTCGTTCCAAATTATAAGCTCTTCTGTATTATGGCAGTACTGACTGTACGTCGGTGTCGGGCCTACATCGGCATTTTTTCCATATAGTGTCGACTATATACGTGTGATGACACTGGATGCGTACAAAATGTTTATTAAACGTCTTATTCATTATTACGTCATTATCAGAACTTATTTATATATTTTATTATACTGGTATCCAATCTGTGCTCCTATCTATTCTAAGCCGAGTTGACAGTATGCTATTTCAGTCCTGTGCTGCTATTGATTCTACGCTGTATCGACAGCTCGTACTGTTTCATTCCAGTGCTGCGTCGATTATATGTCGTGTCGATCGTATGTTGTTTCGATTCTGAGCTATATCTGTTTCACGTAAAACCCATCTCATGGATGTAAACCATTAACAAACACTAATTAATTTATTTTTATCATAAGAATTACTGTAAAGGCTCTTATTTTCGCGGGCCGTAATTTTCGTGAAAATGAATAAATATATCGGTGATATTGCGAGCTGAAAATTTCGCGAATTTTACATGAACAGAACCGAAAGTTGAAAAGTTTCGAAAGTACCTAAGTAGAGAAAGTTGAAAAATTCCAAAAGTACATCTTTTGCATAAAGCATTTTAAGAAACTTCCTTTTGTCCGAAACGTTCATGCCACCCCCCTGCGTTCCCGTCTAAATGGCGAGTTCAAGCGTTTGCTCAAGAATGAGTTTATTGAGTGGTATTCTAATGAGCTTCAATTTCTAGAGAAAAAGAATCTGTGGACTTGCGAATATCACGACTAAAACCGATTCACGCTTGTTTGCTTGTGCGCGTATTTAACGGTACTGAAGCCAAACATGAGATAATTTTGAATGGCTTCAAAGAAGCTGGTATAAATAGTATTCTAAGTGAATGAGCTGCCTTCTATTAATTTTATTGTTTTATACTCGAGAAATATAGTTGTATATTATTCAAAAAATAGTTATAAGAAAGAAAGTTGTCAAGAAAAAGCTTGCAACTGTGCAATAAATCATTAAATTTTGAAGTGAAAAATTTCTGATTTTTTATTATTATTTGAGGCGGAAAAAAAAGTGTTTCGCGAGGCTTAAATTTTCGCGATTACGGCGGGCTATCAAAAATCGCGAAAATTAAAGCCTCGCGAAAATAAGGGCTTTTACAATATATAATTTTCCAATATGATAAGACTGCTCTTCCGTTCAAGCACTATATAAGGAAAACAACCGGTTTTTTTTTTCGTCTATTCAGTTGCATGCTTTTCATTGCCATGTATATTATTAATATTATGTTGTTAATTGTCGAATCAGTTTCCTTTATAAAGTCCTCCACGACGAAATCCCTCACTTTAGCAAGGTTCACACGAGCTTTGTAGTAATAGGCTAAATAAATAACATATAGACCGAATTAAACATATTTCAAAATATCAACTTTTGAATAAATGTTTGAAGGATTTAAAAAAGGAATAATATATATATCCCTATGCAATTTGTAACTGAGTGTTCTTTTTCGAAACATATATTTCATAAATTCAGTAACGATTATAAAATTTGGTACACTAACTAACTTTTTTGTAACATAGGTTTATATTATTTTAATATCCTAATATAGGAACACTTATGCTAAAAACATGAGTTATAATTGTTGAGCAAATTATATTATTAACCTTATTTATTTACATTAAAACATTATTTTAAGAGTAATGGTGTAAATCTTTAAAAAAGGCATCAAGGTTATCGTGAAGAGTAATCTCTGCAAATTACTCCATCTTTCAATATCTCTTTGAGCACTGATATCTATATTTACATTCGTAACGATCAGGAATATAATATTCTCAGTAATTTATATCAGTGAAGGGAAAAAACCCAGGATTTCCTATGTTCACGTATAAAATGATACTTCTGTATTCGTACGTGTTACTTCGAAAAGATATTTCTGCGCTTGTACATGAAACGGTTTTGGAATTTTCAAGTAGCAACGAGGATTATGTCTGCTCTTCCTCCTCTCTAATTCAATACCTGCGTTTATTTCATAACGTAATGCGAAACATTGAATATTTTAAACTTAAACTGTATTCATTATGATTTTAATTCTTTCTCCTTCCTTGTTCCTTACCCTCATATTTAGCTTCTATGCAATTTTTATCCCTAGTTTCTTTGCATATGTAAGATGAAATTTTGAGTCTGACATCGATGATAGCTGGATTGTTACAAAAAGGATACTTTCAGGGCTTATTGGTAATCTTCTTTATTTTAAGTATATCATTCAAGAAAACATGCATGGCTAAACTGGCGCAAAATGAACTGTCGGTAATAATTAGTGTACATTCACATATTCTTATCGTTGCTATGGATGACGAAGAGAAGCGGCGGTTAAAATTACAAAGATAAGTCGAGAAAAGCGAAAATTATGCTAATGACGTAGAATTTAAGAATGATAAAGTTGCAGTTATTTTCTCAACCGAGGAATATTTTATCGCTTTATTGTAATTGTTTTAATTTTTAATTTTAGTTTAATTGTAATTGGTTAAGTATAAGTGGAGGGACCACCTGTTATTTATTCTGAGTAAGTAGGTATAGACCCCTTACACTAGCTACCGAGATTAGCAAGGCCTCCTTGGGCCCCCGTACCATTCTGGTACCGAAGTGCTGCTATTGTCTGGTGCAGCAGACATAGCAAGCTCTGCCACCGCTGCAGTGCGACCATCATATCCTCAGATCTACTTTATTATAATTGGTTATAAGATTTTACTTTAATTTTTGACGTTGTACTTTCATCGTAAACGTTATATACGAAATACAATCAGATTAAAGAGTAGACTTTTACAAAGTTACTTACTTTTACAAATCAATGTTATTCAATGTTCAATGTTTTTCTATCACAAATCAATGTTAGAAGTATATACTTTTATTATAAATGTAGTCTTACTCTTGGTCTATTCTGTGAGCATATAGGATAGCGAACCAAAAAAGAACTCCTCCATAACAAAACAAATGCACTGAAGGACAAATGTTAATGGCAATAGTTAGCAACAACAAGCAGCATAAAGTGCATAAATTTGTAGTCCGTTAATTTCACGTGTATTAATTTGCGGCGCGTTATTTTCGAAGGTTAAATAGAACCTGCTTCTTCAGCGGCAGATGGTATCTTTGTCGTAATTTTGACCTCTGCAGCTAAAACGAAGGCCTTTGTTTAATCTCGGAAACCACAGTACTGCAAATTTACGCACGTTATGCTAATTTTATTATTAATTAATATCTTGAACAACTCATCTGTATGTAAAAGATTTTATGTTTTGATGTGTCTCTGACAAAGAATCGTTCCAAAGAGGTATTTTTCTAAGTTAGAATAACCTAAGAACGCTGCAGAATCTTATCGAGGTCATCGGAAAGTATCCAGCGACCATTATCATAGTAAATGTCCATTATCATACCAAACAGCAGTACTCTGGGTGAGAGGGTATCTTTAAGTTTACAATAGACCACGTGCCATAACTCAGGGTAATTTTATATCCACAGAATTGTTTCTTTGCAGTCGAAAATAAGTCTGACAAATAAATTTTAATTAATGATAAATATATATAGACGTACGTGATAAATATAGATTATATGAGTTAAATTTGTAAAAAGTTGCAAAGGGGAATAGAAAAGACAAAATATAGGTTCAATTTCTGTTTACCAGCTTTCGACTATGTTATCAGTTCAGTGGCCTTTACCTAGTTGATAAAAATAGGAGTTCAGTTTTTGCTCGTTACACTTTCTACTCTTTCGTTTATTCCAAATCTGAAATTTTCATTCTTAAAAAAGAATGTCACTTTGCCTGAAGCATGAGGCATCTAAGAAAGGAATGATAGATACCATTATTAAAATCAATCAATAATGAATCTGAAAGTAGTATAATTTTAATAACATAAATGAGGATAAAATTCATGATTACTATCACCTGTTCTATGCTGTGGAGGTCAGACGGATTTGCTTTCATGCTCTTTTTTTTTTTTTTTTTTTTTTTTTTTTTTAAGGTGTTATCTTCCTCCCCTTCCTAGTTAACCTGTTTGACGAAGATTTAAAAAGAACAGAATTACTGTTACCTAAACGTCCCACATGCATCCTGAAACATTTTTGATAATTATTATGATAATTAATATTTAAATTATATTTTGAATTAAAGAATAATTTCTGCTGTTTAGTTACTTCTGCATATCTGTCAGATATGGCGACATGATTACATGTTGATCCAAAAATTTAAAATCGTCTTTATCTTAGGCACTTATTTTTATAAGGTATTTTCTCCCTTCTTACCGCATGCCTTTATGGTGTTATTAGAAGCACCTTCGGCCAGTAATCGGGAAGTTCGGAGTTCGAATACTGGCGAGAAATTTGCTCAGTTTTCAAGTGTTTCCTGCTTCGACGTATCAAATGACACTCTTGATTGAATTTGTTACACTTTCCAACTTTACTTAAAATTTCAAATGAAAATACCGCGTCAACTAATTATTTTACGAATATATTAAGACTTGATTTAACAGGTTTTTAATCACATTGCAACTTTAAGGAATTATCGCATTTCCTCATGTGTTTGTTCATTTTTGGTATAGGTAGTTAGTCCATCCAGGCTAGCTTTGGAAGGTTCATGGTTCAAATCAACGTGAGAATACATTTG